CAAAAGGGTGGATCTGGCTCTGAGTTATAAATAGTTCGCTTCCTTTGTTAGTTCAGACTAACAAAGGTTAAAATATCTGTATCTTTATTGTCTAATAGTACATATAACAGTATTATTATATCTAATGACTATGCAAACACTACTCACTACTGAAATACCCAGATCAAGAATTCCGACAGATACAACATGAGAGACATTCACAACAGTTTATTAAAATATGAAACTGCTGCAGGTCAGAAGGGATTAACCAGAGTCATTAACCGGAACTTGTGGAGGGAGATTAGACCCTTGAGTGAGCAGGCAGAAACAGAGGGGAATATTTTAAACATTAAGTTCTAGTTTTTTAACATTCTTGTTTGGAGTTTGGGGACAAACTTTGGGAGTTTCTGAAGAAGCCGGTTAGCATGTGACCCCAACACATGCCAGATTTAAACATGATGGTGAGCCGTTTAAAAACGACACCAATAGCAAAGCAAGGAGTGGTACATTAAAATACTATTTTAATAACTGTGTATAGTTCATTAGAAGGTTGGTTAAAAAAAACACTCATATAATATGTTTCAACCGCAATAAAGACCTTAAAAGAACAATGTATTTGAATGTTTTATTTTTTACAATAAAACTTTAAATTATGGGTAACCCAGAGCATAGATTAAAACCATAACCGTTACGTACAATGTGTTAGCGACGATGGACACCAAAAACAGGTACTTAAGCAGATTCCAGTAAAGAAAAAGGAAAGAAAAGCTACTGGATGAATGGAACAAACGTCCCAAAATGAAAACGTTCTTTCAAAGATGTACTTCATATGGGGCCCACCCAGATAATGTTGCTTACGGGCCTATTGTTGTGTTGTTACACCATTGGGTCCAGGGAAATGCAAAAGGTCCGATCTGTGAGAGGAGAGGCAGGCAGAATGTTTAAGGAGACAAATGGGAGTACAGAATCCGAGAGCCGGTCCAGAGTCCAACATATAGTGCCGTAGGAACCTAAATAGTAGTTATGCCTTTTTAGATGAGTGTCTGAACATCTAGTGGATGAAAAAGTAGTGGACTCAAAATAACCTACAATCCACCTTGAAAATTAGTGATCATTCATGGTCACAAGATGAGTAGATATATCCCAGATAGCTTTACAAATGCTGTCTTCCAAAGGGGCGTTTGAGTTACGTGACAAATGGAGAGTGAAAAGTAGGGATCATTTGTCAGTTAACTGACTTCACTATATAGTCCCCACTCTATATAGGGATTGAGGGATATAGGGGTTAGGGTGGACGTTCGGACACAGCCAATGAGTCAATTCAATTTGTCTCCATGTTCAAACTTTAAGGCTTGATGGGTTAGTGCATTTAAGGTGTCCTCTAAAATAACAGCAGATAAATGTTAATAGTAACTGATTCATCTTAGATGCAATCAAAACAGTGTAGCTTCATTAGGTTTTACAGTGAAAAATGAACAATGACTCAGCCATAATGCGACAAAGAGGGCAAAGAGAAAAAGGGAAGGGGTGCTGGCTGTTTAAATAATCTCTGTTGCAGGAATGTGGCATCAGGGGGGCAGTCGCTCTCACTTTGTCATTGACTTTTGATCTTTTATATATATTTATACATTGAACACAGGCCCAAAACATCTGCTCAAGGCCTGAGCAGGTGTTTTGGGTTAATTAGCAGATGAGAGTATGGTACCATCTGTATTCAGTATTCGACCTTTACACAATATTCAAATTTTCTGAGACACTACATTTGGGGTTTTCAGTAGTCATCAGTTATAATAATCAATATTAAAGGAAATACTCTTGAAATATATCTGTCTTTGTGAAAGGAATGAGTATGTTATGCGTTTCACTTTTGAAAAGGATTAACTCAGGTAAATAATTTTTTTCATGATAGTTTCTTTTTAATATATTTTTGTTACATTTTCACAAAGCACACAGCGTGGCTCAGATACAGCTATCCCTCAAAGTGCAAGTTAGGGCAGTATCCTGACAAGACTCAGCACATGGATATGAAATCATTGCCGGGCTATAAGGTGTTTTATTTTATAGAGCACTCAGGTTTGTATCTTTGAACTGCATGGCTTTGGTGTAGTTACACACATACATGTTAATAACCTGAGAGCAGATCTCCTGCCAATCAGCATCATCTATAGCAAGGCCTAGATCTTTCTCCCAAGCTTGCTTGGTGTTTTGCGAGTAAAGAGGAGAATTAGAGTTCAGGGCTCTGTGTTTCTTACTAATCTGTAGAGAAAGGGTCATTTGTGGACATGAAGATATATTATTAGTTGTTAGGGCGGTATCTTCAACCATGAAATTTTTGATTTGTATCTGTAGAAGTCACCTTTACTAAATAAACCAAAATGCTGTAGGAACGGCTGAAAAGATTGAACAGTCCAGTTTTTAAATAAATCAACTATTTTTTGGGGGGTTTGAGTGCTCCACACTTTTTTTCATGATATTCTAAGTTACGATCAGCACCAGTATGCAGACGTGGAACTAGAGGGGTGGCCATGGGTGTAATTCGCCATTAATTGAAACTTGGAGCTTATCTATAAAACAGAGGATGGCAGCAGTTATGCCCAAGGAGGAATGTCCTACCTAATTTGACATATAAATCTTTTGTGCATTTACCATAAACAGAGAGCAAAAATACAGCAAAAATATATTTACACCTCTATACTAACATTAAAGATGACAAACACAGAAATCATGTTCTTTCCACGACTGATTCATGTAAATATTACACTTCACATCAATATGTGTGCATATTTATTTATTGTCTGATTGATTTCTCACTCCTGCCTGATCTCTGCCTGCTTGTGTATTGACGGAACCATTTCCCGATGCTAAGCCTGCCTGCCCTTGTCCAGCTGTCAGCTGCACTGTGTACTATATCTAGAACTGTGACCCGATTCCATCCTTGATTCTCATTCTGCACCTCACCGGATCTCTGACTTCCTGGTTCTGACAACCGACCACGTCAACGACATCAGCTTTGACTTCACCCTTTGGATCATCCTGCCTACGTTCTTCTGCTCAGTTCTGACATCCTGCCTGTCCTCCGACCACTAATATATCAGCGTCTGGAACTCTCTGTGCAGCGACCGCCGCGCGGCATTGGCAGCCAGCCGGTTGGAACCATCCTCGATCTCTGGATATGGACTGAACTATAAGAGTCTGATTCTGTTGTCAATAAATATTTTGAGAAATCTGTTTGTCTGCCTTGAATACTAAATCCTTCAGTTCCAAGCTTGACATGCTGTGGTTATTCATTTAGCTGTTGGTACAGTGTGATTAATATAAATTGACCCTGAACTGGTTCTGGCAGAAATAATTTTTCGTCCACTTCTCTGCCCTGCCTGGTCCCTGCCTGGCCATCTGTAACGACATTTTCTAACTCCACAACTGGTTATATAAAAGATCAAACTCAGCTGAATTCCCCTTAACTGTTCAACATAACTGAATATCATTTAAAAGGATAATGAACTTCATTGTCCTCATTTTCCTGTATGTCTGTGATCACGTACACTGCTCAAAAAAATTAAAGGAACACTTTGAAAACACATCAGATCTCAATGGGGAAAAAAACATTCTGTTTATGTATACTAATATGGACTGGGTGATGGGTCAGGAACAAAAGGATGCCACATCATTTGATGGAAATGAAAATTATTAACCTAGAGAGGGCTAAATTCAAAGACACCCCAAAATTTACAGCGAAAAAATTATGCAGCAGGCTTGTCCATTGTGCTGAGATTTCATTGCAGCAACTCAAAAAATGTATTCAGTAATTTCTATGGCCCCCACGTGCATGTTTGCATGCCTGACAACTTTGGGGCATGCTCCTAATGAGACGACGGATGGCGTCCTGGGGTATCTCCTCCCTGACTGGACCAGGGCATCACTGAGCTCCTGGACAGTCTGAGGTGAAACCTGGCAGCGTCGAATGGATTGAAACATAATGTCCTAGACGTGTTCTATTGGATTTAGGTCAGGCGAGCGAAGGGGGCCAATCAATGGTATCAATTCCTTCATCCTCCAGGAACTGCCTGCATACTCTCGCCACATGAGGCCGGCATTGTCGTGCACCAAGAGGAACCAAGGACCTACTGCACTAGCATAGGGTCTGACAATGGGTTAAGGATTTCATGTCGATTCCTAATGGCAGTCTAGCCTGTATAGGTCTGTGCGTCCCTCCGTGGATATGCCTCCCCAGACCATCACTGACCAACCACCAAACCGGTCATGCGGTACGATGTTACAGGCAGCATAACATTGTCTGTCACATGTTCTCAGGATGAAGCTGCTCTCATCCGTGAAAAGGACAGGGCGCCATTGGCGGACTTGCCAATTCCAGTATTCAGTAGCAAATGCCAATCGAGCTCCACGGTGCCGGGCGGTGTGCGCAGGGCCCATTAGAGGACGTTGGGCCCTCAGGCCATCTTCTTGAAGTCTGTTTCTGATTGTTTGGTCAGCTGGATGTCATTTTGTAGGGCTCTGGCAGTGCTCCTCCTGCTCCTCCTTGCACAAAGGAGCAGATAGCGGTCCTGCTGATGGGTTGTAGACATTCTACGGCCCTGTCCAGCTCTCCTGGAGTAACTACCTGTCTCCTGGAATCTCCTCCATGCTCTTGAAATTGTGCTGGGAGACACAGCAAACCTTCTGGCAATGGCACATATTGATGTGCCATCCTGAAGCAGTTGGACTGTCTGTGCAACCTCTGTAGGGTTCAGGTAGCGCCTCATGCTAACCATTCCTGTTTTGATGGTCGTCTCGTTGTTGCCCCTCTAGTGCAACTTTGGTTTATTTCATTAACACCGAACCAGCTGAAAATGATTAACAACCCCCTCTGCTACTTACCTGACCAAATCCATATCCTAGAAGTTCAATTAACTTGATGCTATACTCTGATTAAAAAGTGTTCCTTAAATTTTTTTGAGTAGTGTATTTTGTAAATCATAGAATGTGAAAGTGAATCTGACTTTAGTAAACTTTCTTTTCTGCAGGAGAGACCTGAATGTGAATATTGCAGAGTAACATCAGATGACATCAAGAACACTCTGGGTTTTAACTCCCTCCATGTGTTTAGAGGTACGTTGCATTTAGTCTGCAGCACAGGCTTCTACCAGTTTACACTCTTGACATTCAAGTACTTGCTTTAGTTGACAGATGCAAGCAGAAGTTTATGTGGACTCCTCAGGTACATTATATATATATTTTTAAATGACATACATGATTAAATGTAGAATTTTGTGCTTATGTCTAAAAAAGCTTATGAAGAAGTGAAACATCTTTCTTAACATCAGCAGTCCTTATTCCTATTTAACTTATGAGCCTTTCCTGCTTATTCATGCAATTATTACAGAAAGCCAGTATAACAGCCATTTCCAAATATGTGAACACCGACATATTAAAAGTAACTGTTGATTTTCGCCACCCTTCTTCCATCTCATCACGTGCTTAATTCCTTGAATATATTGCAATCAGTTGTGTCATATGCTGTTTTTTTAGATAAACAATCAATACCAGGAGTTTGTGTTTATTGTCAACCCAGTCTCATGGGTTGTTATTGTTGAAAAACTTTCCGGCCTGCCAATAATTATTTTTTTCTGGGTTCTTTTCTAACGACACTAATATTTTCCATGTGCGTTTAATACTTCCTTTTCTTCTTATCTAATAGCTTTACATTAATATTTCTATTTAGAATCTCTTACATTTTTATTATTTTGTTCCCAATTGTATCTATTTTTTGTTACTATGTTCTAAACTTTGATGATTCTCTCTTGAGCTGTCAACACGTAGATAACAAAAACTAATTGGAAAAAAGATGATGATTTACAGCAATATTTGATTTCTCCTTTGGATCAAAAAAGTATTTTTATTTTAATCTAATTGAATTACCGTATTAAATTGAATTGAATTTCATCAATCTGTTTGATTCAAATTGAATCTCACGTTTTGCAATGCAATGAGGGATAAATCCATGTTTTTTTGCAACTAAACAATAAATGAATAGAATACTTACTACCATGTCAGAAAATAAATAGATAAATAAAAATAAACATTTTGCATCCTTATTTCAAAAAAAAAAAAAAAAACCTTGACCGAATTTCATATCTTCACATCAGGCTGTCTTCCGTGGCCTTGTTTGGAGCTCCTTGGGGATGAAGACCCAACGACCTGTATGCATTATGTCGAAGCACCAAATGATTTGAAAATAGAGTTCATAGATGAGGACAACCTTGAGTCTGACACTGTTGTTGTCTCCTGGAAGCCAAGCCAATACGGTATGTTGACACAAAGGTTTACCCTCATACAGTTGAAGCTTAAAAACTCCTTCTGGAGGAGGTGGTTGAAATTGTCGATAAATTTGCCCATTCAAAGTTTTGTCCTTACATTTTTTTTTTCTTGTTTTAAAAAAAAAAAAACTTAGTATGCTAGAGCATCCTCTCTTAAAGTCTCATTCTGCTGCAGGTTAGTATTTTTTTGTGTCCTTATCTCCCAAAGCAGATCTTTGTCAGCCAGTGTTTTAATCCTTATTCTAAATAAACTCATACAAAACAGAGAGCTAGTAATTAAACCAGGCTAATGGTATTACAAAAGTGTTTTAATGCCTTTAGGAGCATGTTTGAAATTGGACGTGACATAACTCTGTTGTCTTTAATAAATGTCTGGTTGTCAGTCAGAGTGACCTACAGAGGTGTCAAATAACGAAGTACAAATACTTCGTAACTGTACATAGGTACATGTTTTAGGTATCTATACTTTAATCCATTGCCTATTTTTCTTCCTAATTCTGACCTCTACTCATTATATTTTCACATCTGTACTTTCTATTCCTTACATTTTTATAAACAAACGTCACTTGTTACTCTTGGCTTTGGTTTAATGTTTATAAATATTTATTTCACCTCATGTGTGCCATCCAATGAAGATCATTGGCGCCATCCACATCTAGTGAAAACTAGTGTAATTGAATGAGTCGTATAACGCAAGCACTCATTGGTTGGCTAAAGGAAATCATCAGAAGCAAGCAGGTGTTCTTCAAACTGCAAACGCGAATTGTCTATGCTATGCTACAATGTCGGATTCAGAAAAAGATATTGAAATTTCTGAAAGGTCAGACACAGGTAAGAGCTTCAGGAGATGGAGACGGAGACAAACAAGACCTCTCTTATCTTTGGCCCTATCTCAAAGAATTTTTCGAAATAGTCTAAAAATTGAGCTTTCAATTCATATATTTCATATATTTTAAGGTTACTTTATACTTTTATATTTTAAGTAGTTTACTTTTACTTGAGTGAAGAGGTCAAGTAGATACTTTAACTTTTACCAGTGTTTTTAAACTGCAGTATCTATACTTCTATTGAAGTAACAAATCTGTGTACTTTTGACACCACTGGTGACTTACAAAAAGGTTTGAGGCGCCTCACATTTTTTGTACATTTTTCACATTGAAGGCAAAATTTTATTGTTAAGCTAAAACTTTAGTGCCAGATGAACATAAACTTGTGCAGAATTGGGAACTGAAAAGTAAATGATACATGCTTTTTACCATTAAAAAAATGTTTTGTGAATATGTAATGTATGTAAAACCGTTTTAAGGAAATTACAGAGATCTTTTCACTTCATGCCCCCACTCATACCACACAGGTAAGAAAAAAAAAAAAAACGCAGACGCACATTCACACATACTCAATTCAATTCAGTTTATTTATATAGCGCCAAATTCACAACACATGTCATCTCAAGGCACTTTACAATTCAACCAGATCATACAGTCAAATTGATACAAAGTTTTCTATCTAAGGAAACCAGTTGATTGCATTGACTCATTGACTCAAATACAATCCCTCACACTAAGCATGCTTTTAGCGACAGTGGAGAGGAATAACTCCCTTTTAACAGAAAGAAACCTCCTACAGAACCAGGCTCAGTGTGAGCGGCCATCTGCTGAGGCCGACTGGGTTTCAAGGAGACAGAAACAGAGACACAAAAAGCAGCTGTAAAAGGCGGCCCCGTCCAGGAAACACACAGCCAGGCAGACGAGCTCCAAGCCAGCTGCCATGTCCCAGGACCAAAGACTGGCGGCACTAGTGGTTGGTCCCGGGATTATCGGATGACCCAATAAGTGAACCTAAAATCCGGATGGTGGGGAGGGGAGCGGTGACACAGCCACACCAGCCCATCTCGTTCCTGCTTCAAGCCCAGGCTTAGCAGCTCTGAGCCAGCTCCCATGTCAGAGGATGAAGAGAGCACATCCAGCCAGTCACAGTCAGAGAAACAGGACTACACTGAAAAACAGGCTGATCTCCAACATCTATAAACAAAGGTGTTGATGGCAGCAGCACAGCTGATATTTTTCTCCAGGTTGGTGTCACAGCCAAACAGGAACAGACGAGGTGAAGCTACTATGAGAAAAACAGAGAGAGCACAACATTAGAGATTAAACAATCAGATTCTGCAGAGTGTAGGAATAGAGACAGAATGAAGCAAAATGATGAAATAGGGGTCCCTATGTCCTCCAGCAGTCTAAGCCTAGAGCAGCATAACTATAGAGATAACTCAGGATAACCTGAGCCACTCTAACAATAAGCTTTATCAAAAAGGAAAGTTTTAAGCCTACCCTTAAAAGTAGACAGGGTGTCTGCCTCACGCACTAAAATTGGTAGTTGGTTCCACAGGAGAGGAGCCTGATAACTAAAAGATCTGCCTCCCATTCTACTTTTAGAAATTCTAGGAACCACTAGTAAAGCTGCAGATTGAGAGCAAAGTGCTCTGATAGGGATATAAGGAACAATCAGATCTCTGATGTAAGATGGAGTTTTGCCATTTAAGGCTTTATATGTGAGAAGGAAGATTTTAAATTCAGAAAACAAGAAACAAATGAAGACTGCTTGTAAACTGCATACAGTGAATCCCTTATAGAGATAAGAATATTCTGCATACTTACATCAAGAGTAGAAATATATATTAGCACACATGATAAACAGGGATGCTAATATCTACCTGCTTTTCTTTTTTTGACATGCTTTCTGCAGGAATTGCATTTTTGCGAGGATTTCAAGTGTTCATGCAGCGTATTGGAAGCACCGCTGTTGCCTGTCAGCTGTTGCTCTTCAACCGTAACGTCTCCCACTCAGCTTCACAAGCTCAAAAGGTGCAAAAGGCGGCATTCCTTGTGCTGAAATTTCAAATTATTAAGTTGGGTTTAACAATACAAGCTCACATTGATTTGAATAAAAACCCAGGTCATGTTTGCTTTTATATGAAGATAATTAAGATGTAAGACAAATCCTGTTTTGATCTATTTCTTTTTAATGCAAGCTTGTTTCAGATAAATTTATTGTTTGATTCTGTCTGAACTGCAAACACACACGAGTTGCATTTAAGATCCAAAAACACAGACTTAAACTCACGTCCTAAAGAGTCAAGATGGGTTCCTTAAGTCTTGTACATTACATACTTTGCTCTCATTAATAATCTTTATTACTCATAATCAGGAGGATTAGCAGAAAGGCATACCAGCTGCCAACAGGAGTATTGTCATCTAACGCGTCTCAGTGCACATGTTTTAATGTTACAGGATTCACGAGATTGTCAGCCAATGATATTCAAAGACTGTGAGTGTTTAGCTGCTCATAGCACTACTGTATGTTCATGTTAGCCACAGCTTTATAATTACATATAGTTTATACATTGCTTTATAGTTATTAATTACAACAATATATCAAAACTAAATTGAATTCAAACAGAGCTCTGTGTTGAATAGGCCTATTTTTGGACAAAATTTAACACAATGATCCTCACACGTTTTTTCTATATTCATTAGGCTTGCTCCATTAGGGTGCCTCAGCTCATCAAAATAAAAGCGCTAGTGGTTCTGTTCATTCAGATATTCTTCATACTCTTAGTCACTTACTACAATGGACCTCAATTCAATTCAATTAAGTTTATTTATATAACGCCTATCCTCAACACATGTCATCACTTTACAGAGTCAGTTGAGCCAGATCATATATTCAGATTGGTTTAAAGTAGTCTATCTAAGGAAAACCAGCTGATTGCATCAACTCATTGACTCCACAGTAAACCCTCACACCAAACATATACCAATATAGACATGTTAGACATTGTTGGAAAGCTGAGATTCTCCACAATTACACCACCAAGGTCATTTTATGGACACAGCGAGCACCAAAGCACAATTAATACAGATATAGCAGGATGTCATAATGTAAACATGACAAAGCAGCCAAAACAAGCAAGCATGTATTTATCACTGCTGTTCAAAAAAGACCTATTATTTTTGAGAATAAGAAAACTAATTTGAGTCTTGTTTGAACTATAGCAGGTTGGGCTTGATGCAGCTTGGCTGTTTTACTGACCCAATTTTCATAAATATATTCAGAAACTAGAAGGTGTTGGCTTTCAAAAATGTATCAGAAATGTAATTTGGGCTTACAATTCCTCAGTTATTTGCCTCTCCATTTGGGTATGCAAAATAGGCGAGAATTTCCCAAAATTAAGTGTATATTAAGAGGTTAATCCCACACTCCCCAGGCGCCGCACAATGGCAGCCCACTGCTCCCCAAAGGGATGGGTTAAATGCAGAGAGTGAATTTTGTTGCTCTGTCCTAGTAACAGTGTAATGACAATAAAAAAACATGAAGAAATCTCCAGCCGAACCCGCTCAGAGTGAGCGGCCATCTGCTGAGGCCGACTGTTAAGGTTAAGGAGACAGAAGCAGACAACACACATTGTTATGTAACCTATACAGTACCATTAAACACGTTCAAAGGTAGATTTAGAATAAACTTTTATAAAGTTTTTACAAGAAAAAAAAACTATTTACAGAAATATCTTAAAGAAATTGAAACATTTTAAAAGGCTTCAAGATTTTTGTTTCATATATTAAATAGATTCATCACACACTGAATGAAATATTTCAAGCCTTTATTTCTTTTAATCACTATATTACTACAGATAATAAAAAACACAAGTTTCCTTTCTAATAATGTAAGAATATACGGTAACTGATTTCTTCCGTTGATCTTTCATTCTGTGGAAGCCATTGAAGTGGAGAAAAATGCACGCATTCCTATATTTCAAACACGTCCAATTGTGATGTTTTTTTGTTTTTTTTTCTTACAGGTTTACAAGTCAGACCCATTTCCCAACCTCTCCTTGGGATCTAGATATGTTGTCACTGTCATGGCCTTGCCGGTTCCTGAACAATGGGACAAATTTAACCGAAACATCTCCTTCTACACTCGCTGTAAGAGCCTGTCAAGCTGTAGGCTTGACATTATTTGATGATGTTAGACCTCAACAGACACAGATGAGAATCTGCTTATACATTAAATTGCAAAATGTAATCTTTAAACCTCTTTTAGACCATCATAGTCATTAATTCTCCTTTTGAAACATATCCCACTTATTTCTTTCTTTGCAGCATGTGCAGAGAAGAAGGGTCTGGAGCAGTGTAAGGAGGGTGAGAAGCACCATTCATTGTTTATGAAAAGGAAAATCATAAAAGGACTTTGATCATCTCTACATGTTATCATTTTGTAAAATGGTTGCAGACTGGTACCCACAGCATATTGAGGTCCAACAAAATGGTTCTGTCATTACTGTGACTTTTAACTTGGCTCCACCAAAACTGGGCATCAGAAGGTACTTTTCCATTTGCTACGGAAACAAAAATAGGAATTATACCGACATTGTTCCAGTGAGTATGCTTTTATTTCCTCTACAATTCAGAGTAATTTTTTTTTTCGTTTTTGCCCAGTTTTGTAAAAGTTGAATGCTTTATACCTTCCTTCAAGCAACAGTTCTATTCTATAATGGGAGATAAATGGGGTTCATGAATTGTGATTCTGTACACAATGCAGCTTTTTTATTAGTTGTTATTTAATCTGTGAACAGTATACGTTTTGCTTCCCAGCCAGAAAGCTTTCTCAATTCAAAATGTCTGGAGTAGTATTGAGTTCTAGACTTATAGGGTAGCCCAAACAAACTCTGACGCTGCAGTCAATCATAAAATCACTATATCTGACTCCATTACATTGAACACTGCATGTCCTTAAAGTGGTTTGCTCATCCCGTTGCTGCTCACACTGCCAGCAGACAACTTTGCCTCCACACATCCTTATATTTATATTATACATCATAATATCACAGCCACCATTAACTTTTTGAACTCCTGCCACCAGGGATCATATTTGCACTATATGATTGCTTTTTTTTCCAAATTACTTTTAGACAGAACTAAGTTCAATGTTTCAATTGCATTTGCACCATATTCTTCTGATCACTTCTGCCCCTTATACATGAAAATTTTCATTTCACTGTTGAAACACTGTATGCATTGAAATTTCATTTTGTATACTCTCTGTGTATAAAAAATCACAATATACTTTGTTTAAGTCTAAGGGATAAAAAAATAAACTTGACTTGTAGTCAATAGTCAGTGTAGCAGCCAAATGATAAGGCATTTCAAAATGGCTGCATCCATCTTTTATATGTACTAACAAGAGAAACAATCACTTTTCTTAGGATTCCTCCAAAAACAAAACCCACCACAGGTTCCAGCTGAACGGCCTCCATAAAAGAACCAACTACACTTGTGAGGTAAGGCCTACGACTTTTTTTTTTTTTTCAGAGCAATACATACATTTACCCATTTTAGTATTTCAGATAATTTCAGGAAATGTTTACTGACTAAATTTAGTAACCCGTCTCTATCAAATAAGGGTTAATTATGGTCACTGAGGAAGGATAACATCATTATTATTATACCTCTGAATAATTTTTCATATTTTGTTACATGGCAATACAATCACAAAGTAAATATATTTGGTTAGGAGTGGGACTGCAAAGTGATAAATGGTTGGGTATTTTAGAAAATGTGGAAGTCATTCATTTTCTGACCATTTTACTCTTTTTTTTTACCTTTTACTTCTGTTTTTTTTCCCCCTTTTTTGAGGTTGACACAGAAAGTAATTTGCTTGCATCTTACAAACCCTTTCTTTTGCCTTTTCTGCTTTCACACTATCTACTATCTGTACCTGTTTGGCTGTGACACCATCCTGGAGAGAAATATCAGCTGTGCTGCTACCATCAACACCCTTGTTTGAATGTTTGAGATCTGACTGTTTTCCAGTGTAGTCCTGTTTCTCTGACTGTGACTGGCTGGATGTGCTCTCTTCATCCTCTGACATGGGAGCTGGCTCAGAGCTCGTCTGCCTGGCTGTGTGTTTCCTGGAAGGGGCCGCCTTGTGGTATCATAGCCAAACAGGAACAGACGAGGCAAAGCTACTATGAGAAAAAGCAGAGAGAGTACAACGTTAGAGATTGAACTAACAGATTCTGCAGATCTACCCATGTACTCTCCATTGCTTCCTCTATCATGTCCAAACCCTCTTAGTCGGGAAGCTTGGGTGTACTTATACCTTGTGAATCAAAGAGAAAATGTCTTGATCTGCTACCTCCAACTCTACCTCCTGTCTTTCTTTAGTTCCACCTATTCTTTTTAAAGGCCTTTCTTACACAACACACCTGACACTAACTGTTCTCTGGGCTGTTGTCCCTGTTTTAAAACTTTTTTTCACAGATAGCTGCTAAAGAAGTAAATGCTAAGAGAAACCGATTCTGGATTTATGTCAAGGACTCTCAGAAAGGTATTAAAGGCTTTAATGATACTTCAGTTCCGTTTTCAGATGTCCCCAGAGTCTTTAGAGCATTCTAAAAGGTACAGAACAAATACTACAAAAATACTGCAGGATACTGAGGCCATTTGCCGCCATTGGAATGATTTTTTTTGCATCAGCACCACCTATTTCCTCAGCCTAATGGGTTAATGCAGATACATTTGGAATACACATTTGTGTTGATGCAGGTCTTTATCTTTTAGGTCTACTTTGCATAAAATGTGTGGTGAAAAATAAAGCCTTCATCCATTCTCATGCTACAGCTTTTTTTATGAGCAGCTTTGCTGATAAAAATACATACATATCTAGGGGATGATAAAGAGCCATCAAAGTAATAATTTATGGGCAGCCTATTCTGTTCTTTTTTTAAACAAGGAAAACATGTAGATTCTTTTTATGTTTCAAACCTAACTTATTTGTTGAAATCAGCATATTTGTATTTTTCTATATTGATAAATAATGGATTTAATGTCATGATTGGTTCAGAGAGGCCCAATATGCAGAACACCACGGGAAACAGGAAAAAGGTTAAAATGAGTTTATTGACAATTGCACATGTAAAGAGTCAGGTACTGGTTCACGTCTGGGAATCTGGTTCACGGGATACTGAAAGGGAGACAGTTCAGTTAGCCACGAAGCAGAAGAATGTGGAGATGTTATCTTCTGAGATCTACCTTGAAGAATCCGGGTTTGGCTTTGAGAGAGGCACTGTTGGGTCCAGAGACTGTTTGATTCAGCAGGGTTCAGTTTCAGCTTCAGCGTCTTGCATCTAACGTTTGGACAGACCTTGGTTTTCCAGCTCTTAGTCCAGAGCAGCATGGGAATCCAAAGAAGGGGTCTTCAGGTTTGGCTCAGAGGGCAGGCTCGACAGGTTAAGCTCATCCAGAGCTTACAGGACAAAAACAGGTTTCCTGTAGGCAGAGACAAAAAGAGAATTAGAATCCAACTAGGAGACTAGAAGCAACAAAGAATTCACAGAGGTAGTGAGGCTCAGGTGCTAACCAAACTGGATAAACACTGCGCCGTTGATGCAAGGTCTAAACGCTGCTTATATGGTGGAGGATCCTCCTGATGACGAGATGGGCTTCAGGTGTGTCGAAGGCTCAGCTCAAGAGGATCCACAGCGAACTCTGCTGGAGACAGGTGGTACAGCTCCAGATCCCAACAGTACCCCCCCCTCAACGACCGCCATCTTCTGGACCGCCATGTCTTGGCGGTCCAGAAGATGTCGATGGGAGGGATCGCTCGTACTCCTCGATGAGGGACGGGTCGAGGATGTAGGAACCAGGAACCCACTGGCGATCCTCCGGACCGTAGCCCTCCCAGTCGACGAGGTACTGCCAGCCACGACCTCGCCGACGGGAGTCCACGATCCGGCGGACGGTGAAAGCCGGATGTCCGTCGACTTCCAGGGCGGATGGAGGGGAGTCGGACAGAGGGCACAAAGGGCTGGAGATCACAGGCTTGATCTGTGAGACGTGGAATGTGGGATGAATGCGAAGAGTCGGAGGAAGTTGGAGTCGTATGGCTGATGGGTTTATGACCTGGGAAATCCTGTAGGGGCCAATGAATCTTGGAGAGAGTTTACGGGACATCCCCTTGAGGGGAATGTCCCGAGTGGAGAGCCATACCTCCTGACCAACGGAGTAAACTGGAGCAGGGCGTCTTTTTGAGTCGGCGAAACGTTTGGTGGTTTCCAAGGAACGGTTGAGGGTGGCTATGGTGTCTCTCCAGATGCGATGACTGCGGCGGATGTGGTGGTTGACTGATTTGACCGAAATCTCTCTCTCGTCTGCGGGGAAAAGTGGAGGTTGGTAACCAAGACTGACCTGGAATGGGGACTGGCCGGTGGAAGCTGACTTTAGAGAGTTGTGAGCATATTCGATCCATGGGAGGTGTTGGCTCCAGTCGGTGGGATTACTGGAGGTCAGACAACGAAGGGAGGATTCGAGCTGTTGATTCATTCTCTCTGTTTGGCCATTGGACTGTGGGTGATAACCTGAGGTGAGAGATGATTTGCAGTTGAGGGCTGAACAAAAAGCCTTCCAAACCTGAGAGATGAATTGTGGTCCACGGTCGGAAAGAATCTCCTGAGGGATGCCATGTAGACGGAAAACGTGTTTTATAAGGAGCTGGGCGGTCTGAAAAGCCGTGGGAAGCTTCCTGAGGGGTACAAGATGGCAGGACTTGGAAAATCGGTCAACAATGGTGAGAATTGTGGACATACCTCGAGAAATGGGAAGACCAGTAACGAAGTCTATTGCGATGTGAGACCAGGGACGAGAAGGGAAGTGGATGCAACAGGCCAGAAGGAGGTTGATGTGTGGACTTGTTTCTGGCGCAGGTAGAACAGGCCAGCACATACTCCTTAACATCTCTGTGCAGGGTGGGCCACCAGAAACGTCTTGAAATGAGGTTGATGGTTCTACTCACCCCCGGATGAGCGGCAAATTTGGCATTGTGCATCCACTGAATTAGGCGAGACCTGACTGAAGAAGGAACATATGACTTGTTTGGGGGACCGTTACCTGGGTCAGGTTCTGAAGCCAGGGCAGAGTTTATTAGGTCGGTGATCTCCCAGGTAACCATCCCAACAGTGCAGGAAGCGGGTAGAACAGGTTCAGGCGTCTCGGATTGATCAGTGGAATAAAGACGAGAGAGAGAATCGGGTTTGATGTTCTTGGATCCGGGTCTGTAAGAGATGATGAGATTGAATCGAGAGAAAAATAGTGACCACCTTGACTGCCGAGGATTGGCCTGTTTGGCGGATTGGATATAGGCAAGGTTCTTATGATCTGTCCAAACAAGAACCGGGTGTTCTGCCCCCTCAAGCCAGTGTCTCCACTCCTCTAATGCCAATTTGATGGCCAGTAGTTCGCGGTCCCCAACGTCGTAATTTTGCTCAGCAGAGGAAAGTCTACGGGAGAAGAAAGCACATGGGTGAACTCTTTGGTCTGTATTGAGTCTTTGAGATAAGACAGCACCAACTCCTGAGTCGGAAGCGTCGACTTCGAGGATGAATTGTTTTGATGAATCAGGCTGGATTAACACTGGAGCTCTGGAAAACAACATCTTTAGTTTGTCAAAAGCAGTTTGTGCCTCGGGGGACCATTGGAAGGTTCTCTTGACTGAAGGCTATATCGTGATTTGGGCCCACGTTTGGACACAGCCTTAACTTGTGAATTCACAGTTTACAGAAAACTACTTTACTGAGTAACAAATATTTGCCTGGCTAATATTTTATGGACTGTGTTGAGTCAATCATCATATCAAGGAATGATTAATTACTTAATCACTACCTGACCATTATCTAATGTTTTGAGAAAACTTAAGTAGAGTAAAAGTACACATTTGTTCCTGCTTGGTTATTCTGTGTTTCCCAAGAAACTAAGCAGTGGGTTTGGTTTCCTGGGTGTTCCCCAGTAAGTACAGTACTGTGTAACCCCCTATTAGCTCCTGCTCAGTTCTTTTGGTGTTCTCTAGTAATCAGATTTTGAGAACTTTATTGTAAAGCATGAACTCAATTCAAACCTTAATCCTAAGCCTTATTCCAGAAGATAACCTTTCCTCATGGGGACTGCTCGTTGCTCTCCTCAAGGACCTGTAACTCCCCACATTTTGGCATATTCCATACTTTCCCCACAACCCAGGAGACACACTACATTGTATTAATGGGGGTCCTTGGTTTGATTGGTCGCTGTGTTGGACAACCAAAAGCCACCGTCTTGAATGTTTTGTAGTCATAGGTTTAATTTAAGTGCTAATTTTGCTCACTAAGCTGAATAGATCAAAAACAAATTGATGTTGAAATAATGGCACATAATACTGGAAAGTAGCCTGAAAAGAAATATGTACATCTATGTGAAAACAGTGTGATCCACACATACTGTTTTCACTGTTTTTTGGACTTTTCTTCTTGTGTTTCTGAACAATCTTATTATGTGTTTGTAAAATGTGAAGACTTCACCTTGTTGTAGTTTTTTTTTCAGAGGGGTAAAAAGTATTGCATCAAAAGAGCTTTACCCAAAATGTCAAACCATTTAGTACAGGTCTTACTTCGATTCAGCGTCTAATTGAATCTCTTTGGTCATCAGATATTCCTGCCGCCGATTCCCCATCCTTGGCTGTGGTGCTAAGTCTGTGTCTGACTGTAGCTGCCACATTTGGAGTCCTACTGGTCGCTCTAATGTGTTGGAGGTCAAAGATGCATGCAAAAAAACTTAATATAAATTCAGGTGCAAGATGACCCAAAATTAAAAAAAAAACATGTAAGAGTTAACTTTGTCATGTGCAAGTGTTTAAAACGATATCCGCCTTTTTCTATTCATGTAGAAATTATTTCCCTGAAAGAAGAGAATAAGACTCAAAAGGAGGTGTTGATGTTGCCTGGAGACAGACCAACCCCTCCACGTCTTCTAATTTGCTACAGCAGCTGTGATGGCCCTGCTCATGTAAATGCAGTCATGCAGTTGGCAGCCTTCATACAGAAGCACATGGCGACCCAGGTAATCTGAGCTCTTTGCTTCTTTTCTAAATGTTCTGTGATTTCAGTAAATGTTGTCCACGTATTTACAAAGATGAGGAAGAAGAAGTTTGAAACACACCTGTCTTTTCAGGTGTGCCTGGACCTCTGGGATTCTCTAAGCATTGCAGAGGAGGGCAGTATGGCCTGGCACTGTCGGCAGATCAGGGAGAGTGATTTCATACTAGTTATCTGTTCTCCAGGATTTAGACAAAGTCATGACCAAGCTGATCAAGAGTTCAATCATGACAACATTTTAGATGTGATGTCAACCACTTGCAGTTCTAAAGCCATCATCCAACTTATTGGAGAAGAGGTGGGACAAGCCAAAGCCCGTGGAGAAGACCTGTCTAAATACATGGCGGCCATTTTCCAGTACTGCAAGGAAACGGACATCCCCATTGAGCTGAGACTGGCATCTCACTACACATTACCATGCGACTTTCCACTTCTCTTCTCTCATCTTCATGGTGTGGCCCTGCACAGACCAGGCAGTTACCTGATGATAAACAACATCACAGAAGAGGGATTCACTACTGTCCCAACAGGAGCTGCTCTTCAAGTGGCCATCCAGGAGGCAGGGATGTCACTGAGTGGAGAGCCTCAGCAGACATTGGAAGGCCAAAAATGCAACAGAGTAGAAGTTTAAAACTCAATATAAAGAGGGAAATCATAATTACACCCTTTTCTTTTCATGAAATTTGTTTCTATTTTGGCTGAAAAATCCACACCATTTATGAAGGACAACCCGAGTTATCCACGTAAACTAGGGACAACTAGATGCAAAAAAGCCTAAACTGCCCAAATGGGTAGCATCTAGTTAAATTTACTCTGTTACATTTACTTGAGTAACTTTTTTATCTACTTTTAGGAGTAGTTTTCCAGCATTTTTCTTTTCACTTTAAGTTGAGTGAAAATTCTAGCTACTCCATCAATGAAGAGTAATGTTACTTAATGAAAAAAAGTCTTCTTTTTTGTACTCAAGCTTATTGGTGTTCTTCTTCCCTCTGCTGAATCTGCCGTGTAATTTGGATGTATTCTTACATACTGCAACCATTGATTTTGTAACTTCTATAACTCAAACAAATGAAATCATTTGTTATTGTCATGGTTAGTAAGTAGATCAGTTACTTAGTTCTTGAGTAGCATTTTTACGTTTTACTTAAGGGACTTCTTTAAAGGATACTTTTTACTTAATAGTCTAAATAGTCTTACAATTTACCATTTTGGGTACTCCACCCTGCTCTGCTAAAATGTTATT